TTGTACAGGATCTAACATCGTGTACTCAGCTTGTAGGAGCCCAGTAAGAACAGATGTTGACTGTGATACAAAATAGTCAGGTTCCAGAGAGGTAGAAAGCAGATTGTAGTGTGCAGTACTGTAATGGGGAGCAGTGTCAGAGACCGGATCCAGACAGATAGCAAGCAGTATATAGTGTGTATTAAAGTGGATCAATGTCAGAGACAGGATCCAGACAGATAGCAAGCAGTATATAGTGTGTATTAAAGTGGATCAATGTCAGAGACAGGATCCAGAGAGATAGCAAGCAGTATATAGTGTGTATTAAAGTGGATCAATGTCAGAGACAGGATCCAGACAGATAGCAAGCAGTATATAGTGCAGTAAAGGGGATCAATGTCAGAGACAGGATCCAGACAGATAGCAAGCAGTATATAGTGTGTATTAAAGTGGATCAATGTCAGAGACAGGATCCAGACAGATAGCAAGCAGTATATAGTGTGTATTAAAGTGGATCAATGTCAGAGACAGGATCCAGAGAGATAGCAAGCAGTATATAGTGTGTATTAAAGTGGATCAATGTCAGAGACAGGATCCAGACAGATAGCAAGCAGTATATAGTGTGTATTAAAGTGGATCAACGTCAGAGAAAGGATCCAGACAGATAGCAAGCAGTATATAGTGTGTATTAAAGTGGATCAACGTCAGAGACAGGATCCAGACAGATAGCAAGCAGTATATAGTGTGTATTAAAGTGGATCAATGTCAGAGACAGGATCCAGACAGATAGCAAGCAGTATATAGTGTGTATTAAAGTAGATCAATGTCAGAGACAGGATCCAGAGAGATAGCAAGCAGTATATAGTGTGTATTAAAGTGGATCAATGTCAGAGACAGGATCCAGACAGATAGCAAGCAGTATATAGTGTGTATTAAAGTGGCTCAATGTCAGAGACAGGATCCAGACAGATAGCAAGCAGTATATAGTGTGTATTAAAGTGGATCAATGTCAGAGACAGGATCCAGACAGGTAACAGGCAATATATAGTGCAGTAATGGGAATCAATGTCAGAGAAAGGATCCAGACAGATAGCAAGCAGTATATAGTGTGTATTAAAGTGGATCAATGTCAGAGACAGGATCCAGACAGATAGCAAGCAGTATATAGTGTGTATTAAAGTGGATCAATGTCAGAGACAGGATCCAGACAGATAGCAAGCAGTATATAGTGCAGTAAAGGGGATCAATGTCAGAGACAGGATCCAGACAGGTAACAGGCAATATATAGTGCAGTAAATGGGGAGTATTGTGAGAAACCGGATTCAGACAGGTAAAAGACTTGTAAAAGACTGACTGCCTTTTGTTAACACTTGAAGAAATTATAGTAGTATTTGTGGGCATCAAACAAAGCATATATATTACATTATGTTATACGTATATATACTATGTCATTTCTATCAAGTGGTATGCAAATATTATTGACATTATATATTCTATTATTTCAGTTAAAATTGCATTACATGATATTATTACGAACAGATCACACGATTCTAAAAAGCTAATTTATAGGACAATACCTGTATTCCTGTAACAACAATCCCATGTGTTTCTAATGATACTATCTGAATCGTTTATCTAACCTATTCTGGTGCGCTGTTCAACTTCTTTATTTGCAAGTTTCAGCAATGCCAGTATGTTATTGATCCAGTTCAGAGATTAATGCATTTTAATACAATGTGTGTAGTTTACTGGCTCCTGTCATGTAATGAGGCGAGATGTATTTAAGGGCTAGTGAAAAACTCTGAAAACATATCGTTTTTGAAAGTGATCCAGGAAGAATGAAGGTGAGAGGATCTGTACGGATATGTAGGATCTGCCTGAGATCTAAAGGTGTCTTATTACAATCTGTCTTCTGCTATTGAGAGAAAATACCCCCACCCCCCATAGTATAGAGAAAGACAACTATGTTCATAAAACCGCACGAATTATGAAGCTAATTTTCATTCTGTACATTGACCAAATATTTTAAAGGGTTATTCACCCACAGTAAGAATTCAAAGTAAATTTAACGTGAATCTCAAATTTAAGGTCAAAACAGCCGAACTGGAAACATTCTCTAAATCACCTGTGCTTTCAATGCAGCTACTCTGGCCTTACGTTTGACATTCACTTAAAAATCATTTCGAATATTCACTTTGGTAAATATCTTCATTTCTGTGATACAAAACTCGTGGAGCTTTACTCACTCAACATCGAAATGCGGTGCTGCTTTGGAAAAACATTATCCAACTCATCATTATATTTTAACATTTATTTGCAATTACCTCTAATTTGCTGTTTTGGAAATAAACCCCTATGAGTTATGTATTAAGAGAAATGTGGCAGAGTTCTAAAGGTTGAGCAATTGACAGCAACGTTCTACTGGTTTCCTTGGTGACTGCATCATCACGTTTAATATTTTGCTGGAGAATTGCCCTTTGTAAATAATACGCCTTGGAATAACATATAGGAGAGGAGGGGACTATCTGAATTACATGATGTCTGTGTTTAGATATCGCCCCTGTTCAGATTTCCTCAGTACAGGTGATTCAAGACAAGGGTGTATTGATAATAGCTTCAAGGACACAAAGATCGCTCAATATGACTGGTTTAGCGAAATAAAAGCTAGTAAAATGGGATTAATGTTCCATGTAATGCAATATGGGGCCAGCAGATAAACTAAACATTCTCATATTCTGAAGACATCTGATATGTGAATGCCCATCCCTGTAAAGTGAACTCAAATCGATATACCGCTATGATACATAGACTGCAGATAGATCGCAACTCACTGTACATACAGAGAGAGGGCTACATGGATTTCAGGACAGACAGACAGACAGACAGATAGATAGATATCCTTGTATATGAAGATGGATATAAATTGTAGCTATATAGTGCAGATCACTTGTTATAAATGATTATACTTGGCTAGCCGGTTTCCTTCAGCCAGGTATAGTTCAGCTAATGGAGTTAGTCTGTTGAGCCTTGTTTGCATATCCGTTTAAATAAATCCCTCATTTGTTTCAAAGAATCGCTTGGGATGTATTTATTCTGCTCCCTGTCTAAGAAATGGTATTCAAATAAACCCATTTTACATCCCTGAGATCTGTATTACAGGACAGGTGCAATGCAGAGCCTGGCTCTCCAAGGGTTAACACGCCCATGCACAGCCACTTTGGAAATTGGCTTTAAGAGTTAGGATTAGGAAAAGTCTTTTAAAATAACTATAAAAGAACACAAAAGACTAACATCTGTCGGTACCTTTAAATCACTCCTTTATTTTTTTAGCTTTGATCGCAAATAGGAACTGAATCTATGACTTCAATATGCAATTCCTGTATGAGATGAATTTAAACTAATCCCTCGAAGCATGTAACGCTTTGCCTTTCTCCTGGCACACTAAGTGTTAAATGCACTGCTCGTGGAATTGATGGAATTCTGGGGTGTAGCCCTTTAATATTAACCCCATAGTACCAGGCCATCTCAACAAATAACCATTGTTGCAGAACTGCTGGTACAAGTTATAAAGTTGTGAGGCTTTAGATTTATTGGAGGCCATGCATGTTCTGTCAGTTCATAAAAGAGGAGTGTGCTATATTGTGTTTCTTTCATGTTTTCCTTTGGTCTCTCGCAATTTCTTTTTTATTTATTTATTTATAAAACAGGTTTGAAATGCTATAGATTTAAAAGCATTTTTAATTCTTATGACTGATCTTGGCTTTTGATATTTGACATTTACTCTAGACAAATGCACTTTTTGCAATATTTATTCATATGTCAACCACCATTACAAGCAGGGTGACACATCCACGTTTGTCTGCCTGTTTTTGTCTGTTTTGTTTGTCTGTCTGTCTTTTCAAGGTGTGGTGCATTCTGGGCACAATGATTATACTGCTGTGCATATACCTAACAGGAGGGATGTTTTTTTTATCCTATTCAGCTGAGTGTTACTGTCTATGGGGAGCAGAACAACCTCATGCCCTCAGGGGGTGTCATTTAATCTCAGCTGGTCAGGGTGATGAAATGAGATGGTGCAACTGTGATAGAAGACTGATTCGCTTTGTACATCTACCTGTGATGACAGCCTAATTAGTAGTGTCCATCTACTTATGTTAGCAGAGTGATTAGTTATGTACAACTACCTGTGACTAGTTTTGTACATCTACCTGTGATCGCAGGGAGTTCTAATGAAGGGGTTAATGAAGAAACTGCTATAGCTACCAAATAAATCCAAATGCTACAATATATCCACATACTTTGCCATACAATGAGCAGACACAATATGATGACATAACATACTGGCTGTTATGTACAAATTCCATTCTGGGGCAACGTTTTCATTTTCCATTGGTTTCCTTGGAGACTGCTCCACTGATGGAACTTTGTCCTAGAATTAATCTATATATAGATATATAATTTTAACACGACAAACGCTGAAGAATAGCCAACTATAAGGAAGTGACAGGTACATGGCAGTAAAGACATTTATCACGTGTCTGAAATTGATGGGATTTGCATTCCACGGCATAACAGGAGAGGTTTCCTAACCTTGCATAACAAGCAAGTAAAAATGAATGAATACCTTCATTCATAGCCATACTTGGTATTGGTTGCTGATACTAAAAGTAGCCCTAAATGCTTGATGCAGGTAGCTTTCTGTATCCCCGTCGTTGTTTTGCATAGCAATATAACTATCACCAGTAACCAATGGGTTAATGAGTATTAGTAAATAAGGGGTGCAGAGTTGATGAGCTCTCTGATCATGGCTCCTCCCTTTCACCTCTGCATAATATGTCTGCATTCCCGTCCACTGCAGGATTAACGCTCCACATGCTGGAATTATTATTCCACTGCAGTGTGATTAACCCACTCATTCCTGGAGGTTGGGGATCAATAGATTACTGCTGATTATCAGCGAATGCTAGTAGTTTTAATTCTAGGGGTCACCGATGATGTCATAAGTGGCCAGTAAATGACTACATGAATTTACCTCCATGGATACACATACTGTATTTATAATCCAAGTCATTTCATAGCGAATTCTCTGTGTGATCACAAAAAATAGAAATGCAAACACACAAATTCACATCTACATGTAATTCGTCTTACAACGACAAAACACGCCATAAATGTGCGAATTTATACATTTTAATCACAGCAGTTTTGTGTAAAGGCACACCCAAAATGAGAGAAATCTCACCGACAAAATATGGCTCTAAATATAAAAATTGCAGATAATTCGTTTATTGTACTCTGTTGTTTGATTTTCACAGGGTTTAAATGTATTTTCTAAGTGTACGAATTATTCACTTATAATTCCGGGCTCATATTGTATGAGCATTTCTTTTTAAAATAAATCCCAATATTATTTCAGAACATGAAATGGGTGCAGACCATATATAGGATAACAATATTTAAATACCATCTATCATAAACAGGGTAAACCCCATCAAATATAAATATAAGCATGATTCATTTTCTAAACCGTGAGCTGTAGATTGAAAAAAATACGTACAATATGCAGCTCAAACAGAGGAGCCTTAAATTGCTGATTCACATCATATTTAATGTCACTGATTTCTGCTTAATGTTGCACTTCCTTCGTTAATTCATTATAATCCACTGTTTTAGAGAATAAGCTCCTAGTTTTAATTTAAGAAATCTGAGAGCCTTGCTGAAAGTAAATTGAGACAAGTTGTCACTTAAGGATGAGAAGGGCATTATTTAAAGATTATCCCAAGGTTAGACTGTATAACATATACCCATCCATAATATATATTCGTGGTTTATACAGGTAACGCACATTCTCTATATATCCGAATCTAGAATAATCTAAAATAAAAATGAAACAGGTCTTCATGTTAAATATTCATACTTTACTTTGCATGATTCATTTAATTATTGTAATACAACAGGATTATTTACTAAAGTGATATTCGAATTTACATTTTACACCAAAACCTGATTTAGAGAATTATCCAAATTCCCCTATTTGGCCTTAAAGTCGATATTCACTAAAGTGAGAATTTAAAGTGAATTTCAAATTTAAGGTAAACGTAGTCGAAATGTAAAGATTCTTTAAGTCTCCAAGCCATCTATGCTCCCAGTTGGACTTCTTTGGCCTTAAATTTGAAATTCATTTTGAATTCTCACATTAGTGATTAACCCTGTAACTTTGCATTTCTGACTATTCTCCCTTTCGTACATAACATGGAAACATACCTGAATAATGTGATCAAGTAGGTGACTCATTGGAGCAACCAGTAGGAACATTCCATTGGTTTCCATGGAGATTGCTACAGTTCAAGAACTGTTTATAGGAACCCTATGTTATATAAGGACTTGATGCCATCTTGGTTTGCTGTGATTCTTTTTATTATTATTATTATTATATTCTTATAAAAGCTCGTTTTTTTTTTTCTTTCTTAATTTTATCTCATCTAGTTTCAACTGGTACCCAGACAATAAATGCTATCATACTGAATCTGCACGTGCTGACAATTTCAATCTATGTTTCAACACTGGTATGATGAATACATTCCAGATAGCCATCACTGCAATGCTGCTCAGATTAGGTTTTGGTACACAAGTCCATTATACATGCATTGCTACAGTATAGTTATGAGGTGAAGTCCATTGTATATGCATATCTATAGTTATGAGATTAAGTTAGTGTATATGCATTGGTATAGTATAGTAGTTATGAGATGAAGTCCATTGTATATGCCAGAGTTGGGCAACCTTCGGCACTCCAGATGTGGACTACATCCCCCATAATGCTCTTATACCCATAACGCTGGCAAAGCATCATGGGAGGTGTAGTGCAAAACATCTGGAGTGCCGAAGGTTACCTATGCCTGGTATATGCATTGCTATAGTATAGTTATAAGATGCAGTTATTGTATATGCATTACTATAGTTATGAGATGAAGTCCATTATACATCATATTTAAGGAAGTGCATGATTCTCTGTCTGCAGCAATATATAGCAGAACCAGTGTAATGTATCCATTGACAAGCCCATCTAATTGAATCTTGCCTAGGAAAATAGAAGGATAATGATTTTATCTCCTTGTTGGAGAGCACAAAGTGCAGAGCACAGGGAGCTGGATCAGTAGACAGAACAAGCTGCACATCTTTAAATATTAATCATCTTCCTAAGTGATCCTAATTGATGCCTTGAGCAAATCCTGGGATGGAGGAGAAGTGTATGGGGGGTGATATAGCTGGGAGGGACAATTCCACATCCTTTTGACCCTGACTTCTTTTAGGAGATATTGATTTCTCCAGGAAACGTGTGAGGAGGAGAAATGGTCAGCTAAGGGAGCAATTTGGGTACCTAAAAATCACTTAGAGGATGGTGCAGGATCAATGGTTGTCATACAGTCTAATATAAGAGTGGGGAAGGATCAGAGATGTACAGGAGCCTTAATAGTGTCCCTGAGGGTGACCTGTACTGTAGACAGTGGAATATTTTCATTGGATTGCATGATTGTAATTATTATTATTTATTAATGCACAGATTTATTTTGCAATACTATAAATTATAATGAGGTTACACCAAAATTGTCATTTAAAGATTGAGAGAAAATTACATGGGTTACAAATGTAATAGAGTTATTTACTTAAGCAGGCATTGTGTAAAATTCGAATGAGCAGGGATTTGCATTTTAGGATAACATTGGACTCGTTTAAATCCTTTCTCGCTCGACTAGTTTTCAACTTTGACTGCATTAGACTAAAATATGTAATTATTTTGTGAATTTCACAGAATTCCTGGTGTGGTCAATGAATAATCCTGAAATACGTCATAGCAAGTTTTGGTGTCGAGCAGGTAGTGATGACTTTATAGAGACGCCATAAATAATGTACAGCATCATAAAATGGATGATCTGAACAGGAAGTGGATAAAACACAGTCTGGCAGACTGGTGTAGGGGTGTGGGTTAATCTTGATCAGAAGAACTGGTGTGGGACCTTATATCTAGGGCTGAGGACATGGCTGAATAAAAAATAATCCCTGAATGTAACTTGTAAACAAACCCAAGATATTATGGACAGCATTCTTAGCAAAGGACCATGTAAATAAAAGAAGCTGTTCGTATAACTCCAGATAAACCAGGCACACCGCAACAGCTACATTAAATAAGAAACCTACTGATCTTCAAGCTTCCATTCTATGAGCTGATCATGAGATGCTACAAATACTGGCTAATTCCTCATATAGGGTCATTTACTAAACTGATCAATTCATCTTGAATTCTCACTTTAGTGAATAAATGTTGTTATTAACCCCTTAAGGACACATGACATGTGTGACATGTCATGATTCCCTTTTATTCCAGAAGTTTGGTCCTTAAGGGGTTAAACATTGCATATCTGAAAGGCATTTTCGAGTTTTGAAAGCCATGAGATTGACACAGGTTACCTGATGAGCCATACCATGTTAGATTTAGCATAGTTAGCAAGATTAGGAGCAAGATAGGGGGGAGTGGGGAGGGGGAATGGGGGACGGGGGAGTAATTAGTATTGGATTCTGTTCTCTTTTCATATTCTATAACAATATATTGATCTTTAGATGATTCCAGGAATAATCAGCACTTGGAGGAAATCACGTGTCTCTATTTATAATAACCTATAACTAGGTCTGCTTAAAAAAAGTGCAGCATTAATGAACTCCATACAAAATATAGGAATCTTGAAAACAGGATATAGGATATGTATGATATAAAAATAAGCAGTTAGTTATTCCTCACAATTAACTACAAGTTTTCTGTCAGTTTTAAGGCTAATAGCATAATTCCGAAATGTTTAATTTTAGGGTTACACATTTGGTTTGCTCATTTGGATAATATTTAATTTTGTCGCTAGTCTATTTGGCTGAGATTTGTTTAAACATGTCATATATACTATAACTAACATTATTTACCTTTAAGCACACTATACTTTTATTCCCATTCAGTGGGCTTTGCTCATCGTGTTTGCTCCATATTTAATTTATTTATATCTGGTAGGGGATATGAAGATGACTGCAATATTTTACATTTATTACATCTTTCAATAATTTTTATGGAGTTGTTTTTTAAAAAAATCAAAATCTGTTTTATTTTTATTTTATTTTTACCAGATTTGCTGCTACAAATGTAGTCTGCACTAAATAGCCATCTCAGAAATGTTTATATAATTACTTTTGTTTCCTGACCCACACCTTGCTAAATTTACTTATAGTATAGTGATATATTTAGATACAAAGTGGTTTATCCCCCCACACAGTGACGTATGGTGATTTGATAAACAATTTTATAACATTTAAGTTGCAAATTGTTTAAGACGCCTTATCACACTGAAATAACTAATACTTTAATGTTTATCAGGTAAAAATACATATTCAAACATATTGAAACGTGATTCAGGAGATGGTATGTAGTGGAACCCAAACCCCCCCCCAAGCATAACAATAATAATAAAAAAAATACATATATAATTGTATTTTTATTACACTCCAGCTCCTAAACTAAACCCTGCCAGCAAGTCTAGAAAGTCGGGTTATTAAGACATCAATTCGTTGTAATCTGTTACACTATGGAAACAGCCATCTTTTTTACCTCTCCATCAGCTGAGTATCGTGACGTCATCTACCTCAATGTCACTCCAAAGTCAATGGTAACACAAGTACTTTTACTGGGTGTATCAGGCCTGGGTTATTGGGCAGCAGAGGGAGAAGCATCTACCCTGCCCCCCCATAAAATGTGTTTATTATTATCAGGTTCACTTGTAGCATTTGTGAGATGTGATTTTGCGTTTCACTTTGTTAAATATGAATAATAGTACAACAAAGTAGCTTGCTGTTGGCTTTGATATAACCTTCCTTGGTTTGTGTGGAAGTTAAAAAGAATTCTAAATTGAGTTTAGGGGATGTAAGTTGAATTTACAGCAGCAGTATTATTATCATGATAACATGTTTCTAGCCTCTGTAATCTCACTGTTTAGCAAACAAGCCCCAATATGTGTAAGATAATGCAAGAACCAATTTCTGCGAATATTATTATAGTAGAATATAGGAAACATACGTGGTTATTTACTCAAGCCTAAATTTTAGTAAATTGAATCGAAATGGGGAGAGATTTTACAAATCTGTCATTTTAGACAAAATTTTTAACTCAGATTTTCATTAGCTATAATTCAGTTTTTACTGAATAATCCACAGTATTGTTGTTTTTTCCCAGAAAATTATTAGGTTCGAAATATTTTCACCATAATTTCAAACCTACATTACAAACAAAATTATTTATCTTTCCTAGATTTCATAGCATTATATTATATTTGTTTTAGTTATTCATTTTTTTTTCTTAGCAAATATGTTCAAATTAATTCTATAAAGCATTAATACATATGAATTACTTACTTTTAGCAGTATTGGCTATATTAGAGTTAGTATTATTGTATAATGCAGTCATGTGTACATGTATATCTGCTTTTTTTTATTGAATATAGATAGATATGTGTGTGCACTATAATTAATATAACTTATAAGCAGTGTCTAATATTAAATATATATATATATATATATATATACACTGCCCATTAATGATGACATATTATTCTGATTAATACTATAATCCTACATCGTAACAATAGCCAACATTATACAATTATATAAAATAGAACTTAATACATTTAATAATAAAATAAAATTCTGGGAACATAACTTAAAATATCATTTATATCCTGGTCCTAAATGTAACATTCACTCTGAATTCACTTTCAGCTCTCACGTTAGTAAGTAATCCTGTAACTATTTGCTTAAACAAGTGAAAATAGCCTGATATTTGCACTGCTCAGAGAAGGAAATATAAAATGGGATGCTATACTATAATCTTTTATATTTTAATGTAAACCATTGCTTGCTGATGTTTCCCTGAAGCTATATATGAGTATTGACAATTCTGGGAGATATCAAATTGAAAAATTATAACCACAAAAATAAATTGCCAATTCCTGTGCATCTCATAAAATGTTTTTTATGCAACATTAGTGATTCTTCCTATGGCATTCCTCCTATAGTTTAATCATTGATGTAAATCTGTTGCCATAAAACAATCTTTTAGGACTCTATTTAGAATTATATAAAATAGACATTGTTTACACTCCAAATGTCTGAGAACCACATATCCCACGAAGCTCAGCCAGCGAGAGATACACCATGTCATTGTTAGAGTCAACGGCGATTTCGTTTGAAAGAATTTTTAATCTGTATAAAACGGAATACTGGCAGTTACAGCAACATTTGTTTCCAATTATGTTTAAAATACCCACCGGCATCTAAACGGTTAATGCATTAACTAATAAAGTATTAATGATGACAGCAAACCATATGGGTTACGTATCTTCTGACAAGGTTGTATCTGCCACAATCTGAGAACCTTAGAACATAATACAGGGACTTTGCACCGAGTTCTGGTGGATCTGTAGAAATGCAGTAAATCCATGTATTAACAGCATGAGGCAAACATCATTAGCTAATGCACGGAGATATATCCTGACTGGGTCTTCATTACAGATACTGGGATAAAAGAACAGACTGCTCAGGAAGCAAAACAACATGTGTGACAGGGCAGACTATATCTAGTAACAGGGGAGAGCAGCCAAAATAATACTTGTGCAGGTTGGATGTATTCCACTGGATTGTACAGATCAAGGCATCAGGGTGATAACCCCCTCCTCTGTCCCAGTGCGGTCCTGCAAAACATTACCTGAAGCTGCCTGGTCTCTGTGATCCAGAGGGACCCACACAGAGCCCCTTTTTGCTCCCTTATAATAGACAGATTGTTAGAAAACTAGAGCAGTCCACACAAAGGTAGTGGGGAGTTGGCAGTAGCTCTGAGCTAAGCTATGCCAGTGCCAAGATACAAATGTGGCACACACTAATACCAGCTCTGCCTGAGGGTATGCATGACAATGACAGACATCTGTGTTTCTCTTTAGAGATATTTATTATCCTGGAAGGGTATGGGTGAGATTCTTGGAATCCTGTGTACACTTATTAAAAGGTGCATAGTTAATTCAATACATAGATAGGTGTGTAAATAAATAAAATAAAAATAAAAAATATGGAATATTGCAGAACACCAAAATACGTCGCAGCATTAGATACACAATAAAATACTAAACTGAAAATGGAGATTTGTTTTTTAAACTCTGCATTTTAGCTCAGTGCTGAACTGTTCATTTTAGATCAGAATGGTTTAGAAGTGAGACATCAGCAGGTTCTAAAGCTTTTACTGCATGAAACTGCTGTGCTATCCAATGCTATTGAGTTTAAAATATGTAAGGGTGTAATAATAATAATAATGGGTTTAATATTTAAATGTTTACCATTACAATTTCCCCTTTCACCCCAAATACATTTTGCATTATCATTATTTTTGTGGTTCTCTAATGTTTGCAAGTTAGGGGGATTGTTGACCAAAGGAAAGTAATCTACTTAGAAAGTTTTTTAAAAAATGTAATAAAAACATGTCAGTGGAGTATATTGTTCTGCATTAGGATAACTAACTATGATGAGCATTGCTTATGTATATTCAGTGATAACACAAAGTAGATTTCTCTAGGTAATGCCAGCTTGTCATGTTGTTATCCTAACAGTAAGGGAGTGTTTGATTACATAATCAAAGCTTTCCTCTAATCCAATATGTGTGGAACTGGATAGGCATTAATACAAAAACACCTACATAACACACATTCAGGCTTAAGATACAGTAGTAACAGGTCAGTTCTATAAAACCGATTATTGCTAGATATGACTTTTTTTTTTTTAACAGTATTGTGTAGATAGTTATGGCTGGCACTTAGTTTCAATACAGCCAAATATTAGATATTGAGAGGTTAAATAGAGAAAACTTTTATATAATGCGATTGCACCACTTTTAAAACTTTGCCCAAGAATTGCACTTTATATTTAACTTCTATTTTGATTAGAAGTGTAGAAAACACTGAAAGTAATTTTCAACTTTTCTAAAAAAGAACTTTTAAAATTTTATTAAAAACTGCTTTTTAGATCTGAATATTGGCAATGTCTCCATTCAAATTATTAATTAGCAATACCAATACACACACATAATAAACATTATTTATTAAATTAAGGTAAACTTGTTCCCAGATTCCCTCCAAATTATTGTTTTTGCCATATTGCCAATGTCATATCTGTTTACCTGTCAATAGTAGGATGTAAAAGACTGAATGGATTATTCCTCCTATACACTGAATTATCATCGTGCCTCCAAATAATGACCATCCCCTAGCACACACCAGTGGTCATTTCTAAAGAGCACAGTGGCTTTGTAGAAAACCTTCTTAAAGTGATCCAATCTAAAAAACTATTAAATGTTTCTGGCGGTTGCTCAAAATTTAGAACTATGGCCTTGATTTAATATTGTTGGATACGCTTTTCCAAATGATTTCATATTTTTGGATAAACTTTAAAATTATTTAATAAGTTTAAAAAATATGTTAATTTTATTATATTGATAGATTTTTATATTTGATACGTGTTTTGATATTTGATATGTTGAAAAAACTTTGTTTGTTTTTCGAGATGTTGCAGTTAATTTTTAAGCCATTACAATTTTGTAGTTTGTGAATAAACCTCTATTATTTTTAATAAAGGGAGGTTCCAAACTAGAAACAACTAGTATGGAAATTTTCATACTCTTTCTTCTCTTTTATTCAAAATCATACTTTTCATACATGGTTATCGAGTCCATCAAATCCACCCTTTAACCTTTGTATAGTCTTTATTGTCGTTTTTATTTTATTTATTTATTCTATTCTGCATCTTGGAATATCATTGCATTTTGATTTTAGTTTTATATACTTGTTTTATGCTCTAGTCCATCAATCTAAATTTTAAGGATTCATTAAAAAACACAACACTAAAAAAATGGATGTGAAACTGCTCAATATTTGAAAATACGGGTTACTTTACAGACTGCATAACTACACAATACAAACATATCAATTTAATCTCCCTCAGTGTAATGGAGAACAGGTACATGTTTTTTGTTGTTGTTTTTTTTTTAAAAAAAGCAGGATTGCATACCATGCTTGAGATATTCAGGTATAATTGATATATATTATTTAAACCCGAGTGCAGGAGATCCTTAAAGATATTTCATACACACAGCCATGATCTATGGTACTCAGCATCCCTCGTAACTAATCTCTTCTCTTAAAATATTTGTAGCGCTGCACAATAGGGGACAGAGTGCACGATTAAGACCATAAATTATTCACAGACTGGGACAAAAGTGACATTGCTTGTCCAGGAGCTGAGTTTAATTTCTGGATTTAGGGACTGGGTCTTTAGGGCTCTTCATTCTGCCGCGTTTATATTTGTATATTCTCTGCAATACTATGCCCCTTAATTTGAAATACATTTGTTAAGTCATGTTTCTTGTTTGTGCTATTTTTACTAAACAGTAGACAGTGAGGAACTAAGACAAATTCTCCAAGTCATCTCTTATTCCAGTTTGGTTGTTTTGGCTAAAGATGTTGCAATTGTGTTGTCAATTAGTCACCATTCCTTATTTAGTGAATACAACAGCCAAGTCAATTCCATGAAGAACTCCCTCTATGTGTTTGATTAGTGCATAGTGACCATCAAGGTTAAGAAGTGACAGGCAGATTTGATACATTTTCCTTTCAGGTGGTCACGGGCGAGCATCCCTCCTGTTCTGTGTATGGCACTGGTAGAATTCACTGTGAAAACACACAATCAGTGAATTACCATAGGGCCATAAACAGAGCAGAGAAAGAACCACAATGACATCCTCTATGTTCTTCAATATCCTAGAGTCTACAGGAAGCTAAGTATTCATATAGAGAGGAACAAACTGGTATTTAATATTTGTTCATGAAGCACAGGTGATCATCACATTATTATAAGCAGGAATACATGTTCTAATGTTGTTCTATAACAAATGCATTTATATCTCGTCTTCACTTGATGGTTATGTGTCCACCTATTCATTCATGACCTGGCAGAAAATTCACAAAAAAGGATGAAGGAGAGGGTTGTAGATATGAGAGAAATCATAACTAAAAAAAAATAATAATTGCAAATCTATTATATTGTTTGAACAAAAATGTCAAAATGTTAACATACAGAACCAAAGCGACAGGCCAAACATAGAACTGACAATTTGTGTTTAGAATAAGTTGTGTTGCTCTAGTTCGTAGCTGCTTTCATTATCACTTTATATATTGTTGCTCTTTTGGCCAAGAATAGTTTGTCCATTCCCGTGAGCACATTTGGCAAGTCTAGTAAAGCATGTGACTAGGAAATAGATTGAGATACAGATACCTTGCTCCCTCAGAAATTGTGAGTTGGAATGCGACCGATCTGTTCTAGATGACGGTCTTAAGTTTTTTATACTATTCTGAAATGAAACAAGTGATTGCAAGCTTATGGGGGAAAAGTTGTTCATTTTATTAAAATTCAAAGTGCAGAAAATTACTATTAACAATAAACAAATATCACCATATGGAAGTTTCTAATTTGCTCTTAACCTGTCCTAGAGCAGGTACCATTACCAACCCACCCAACCAACAACCATGAAAGGACTCTGTATGGCCTGCTTTGGCACTAGCACATTTTTGCTTTTGTTCATCTACTTTGAGCAATTATGTGTAGTGCCAATATAGGACAAAACGGACAAGGCTACATTGGAACAATGAGAAAACAAGGAACCGTACAGAACATGTGGTGGAAGACAACATCCAAAAACATACAGGAGTAAGCGATCTGAGTCTTCTCAACTGGAAAGTAATTCACATTTAATGTTTTATTTTAGGACTGTACTTCACACCTCAGTTTATCACATCATGATAATTGTTACAATTCTCATTAACACCATTTCCCCAAAGACTACAATTTCCAAGATCATCTGTAAGAACATTATAGTTCTAAATTAACAAGAGGACAATTTAAATGTTCAGTGTCAGGGGTTAAGGGGTGGTTGTATGATGTTTAAACAATTTTGTTGCTTTGAGCATTTTTGTCATTTAGAAGTAAAGAGTTGCATGCATTGTTATTATCATTAAATACATATAACATTTAATCTGCCACAAATTTTATATTAGTCATAAACTAAATAACATAACTGCTTGAGTTCAAGTTTATATTTAGCAGGATACACAAATATGAGGAGACTTTGATGGGCCTTGAAGTCTCCTTTCAGGGTACACTGAGTGGTAAGGATGTGATACATGGCCATGTATGTTAGACATAAACATGGGATAATTGAGAAAGTTAGAGTTGAATGATTGGCACCCTGTTTCATCCTTTTAATATTTCATTTTTTGAGACTTTTTAAAGTTCAATTTAATATACAATTGTTTTATTCTATACTATCTAATATGACCATGGTGAATTTCAATTGGTTGTCTAACAGTAGGTTGGATTTGTATGTTTTTTCAAAAGTATATAGTACATATAGCTAATAGTATAGGATACATTAAAAACAAAACATGAATTAGTTAAATGCAAAGAAAGATCAGGTATAACGATTGTAACGGCACCCCCAGGCATAAAAGGGTTAAACCGCCGTTTAGTCGATCTTCCCCTTCCAGAGATACAGGCACAGCTACTGCAGAACACCAAACTCCCGAACTGAATACAAGGGAATGCTCCAAACTCCCGAACTGCATACAAAATAGCACTCCAAACTCCTGAACTGGAACCTCCCGAATAGCTGCTAGCAGACGAACAGGAAAAGCACCCAAGCGGCTTACACTCCTGGCAATCAGTCTCTAACAACATACAGTTGATCCCCCCCAAGAATGAGACAAGGCTCCGTGTTGAGGGTTAAGCAGTGGTCTGGTTTATTGAGGGCTACCTGCCCGGTATTTATGCAGGTCTCCCACCTGGTGGACACTCCCCTAGAGGACCAGATGGAAGACTGTAACACAGACAGACATGTATCACATTCAGACACACAGATGTAAAACATCCCCACAATGCATCCTAATTTCCCTGCCTGCACGTAAAAGTATCCGGGGAGCTCTATAACACCGCAACCGGGTGGCGGCTATGTGTAACCACGACCAATTGACGGCACACGCTAGCTTCCCGGTGGTCGCGCCTTCGTGCAGCTTTCGGCTGTTTAACAGGGGAACACATAGGGACTGTACAGGCAGGGAAATAAACCGAACAACAGACGAATGGATGGAAAATAAATGTAATCCATATACAGACAGTTCTGTTACAACGATGTATATATTTCTATTTGAAGTTATTTTTTGTCAGACTAGCAAGTGCAGAATGTTTAAAACAAGTAGGCAGAATGTAAAAATTAAAAATATAAAGGGAATGCTATAAACTATAAACATATGACCAACATCACCTCTTCTGAAGCGCAATGTATGTACTATGTTAATCAATATTGAGCAATGTGAACTATATTGGAGCTATAAAAATAAGTTGAAAATCATAATCACTAAATATTTTGCAAAATTCTGCCTTGGAAAACGTCTTTATATTGGCTCACTTGCAATTAGCTTTGCATAACGTTTAATTACTAGAAATAAATATGTGATTAATATCATGCCAAGCAAAATAGGGTAACCCAATATCCAATCCATTTGCTCATCCATTGCTTCTTTTAAAACTGTTAGGGTAATCTACTAAAAGATAAATTGTCAGAAATCAAAGTGAATTCAAAGTAAATTTCAAATTTAAGGCCAAAATAGCTGAATTGAAAAAAAATCTCTCAGGCAGCTTTGCTTTGTTTAGCTACTTTGGTCTAGAATTTCAAATTTATGTTCAATTATCTTTGAATTCACAACAATTCTAATTTTAGTAAATATGCTTATGTTGTAAATGAAAATAAATATAAAATATTCCGGTTTGATGGAAAAATGCTCTGGTGCTCCCAGAGAAAATTCTGACTTTAAATGAGAAGCAAATATAAAGCACTGAGTGAGAATTCATAGATAACACTAATAATACTAATAAGTTAAGCATATGAAATGAGAGAAATCTCAATGTATCCATCCTGGTAAAAATATTTTATAAATAAATAAATATGCAGCCATATTCCATCACCAATCCCCAACAGTTTTATCGGAATCAGTTATACCCACGCTGACTCCTAATCATTAAAAATCATATTGGAGATGAACAAGTAAAACATTGTTGTTCATCAAATAGGTTTTTGGTCCATTAAAATCTGCCAGATTTGTGCTCTTGCTGTGTTGTGGGGGAGGTGTAATGGATCCGGGTGGATCCGGCTGGTTCTTCTACTGATAGTCTGTGCCTGGCTATTCATTAGATTAGGGTCTCTGACTGCCAAAAATGGAACCGCAGATCAGGGCGCAGAGAGATAATGGAAGTCTCCTTGGCTGAAAATGTGCTGAGAAGGGTCTCTTGAGCAATTGTCTGCTTAATTCCAGGAGGAATGTAGCTATCAGGTTACCCAATTGGATGAATGAATGTGTCTGTAGATTAGATGTAAGATCTTGTGCGGCTATTGCAGTCCCAGGAAAAAAGCGAATGAATAATAGGTTCAATTGACAAACTTGGCACCTTAGTTCTAACAAAAAAGCCAATGTTCCAAATTTATATTCAATAATTATTATCATAAGAGGGATAATAAAGTTAATGTTGTCATTCTATATGATTAATTATTTAAAAACTAAGAGCTGCCCAGAACAATTATATTTTTCATTCATAACTGACAAATGATGACTGTTAGTTACATTTAATTTCAAAAAAGATGTTTTTACGTTGTCTGGCAAAAATTGGTAATCGCCTAACTGTAAGATTTTTGGCTTCTTTTGTATTAACAGCCATAGATATCATGGGCCTATTAAATTATTCATTTGATGTCCTTGAGTCTTGTTAAAGTCTAGATTGCAATTACAAAAAAAAAACTAATCTGTGTTCTTCTCCCTCTGTAATGGCTGCTTTTTATACTGAATATGTGCTTCTAGATGTAAAATACTAGGAGTAAAGTATGTTTTCTGCTTACATATGGTTTGAGTGTTATCTTGTCCTCTTCTCTTCCAGGTTCCGGAGAGGAGACATTAAGCACCTTCACTGGCAGTGTTTGGCAATGGTAGAACTCACACTGGTGAGCTATGTGGATCCGGTGGTTCTAGACTTGCCAACTATGGCCTTGGAGGAAAGCACTTGAAGGACAGAGATAATGTTCCATCATCCTCTGTTCATGTCAGCTGGAAAAGAAATGTGTATCCCACACACAATTGTTTATCTGCATATACATACAGAGTCTGTATTATACCAATCGTAAAGTGATAATGCCAGGGCATGCATCTTAATTACTAAATATTGAAATTATTTATATGAATATGTAGGGGATCTCATTAGCATATAATCAGATGTTGTGAACAGATGTGTTTCATACATGCAATTCTAGTATAATGTTAACCTTTTTTGTAGCTTGAAATTTAAAAACCAGCAAGATAACAAATGAACATCATCTAATTAGCATGGAAACACAACAGTCCAATATGAAGGTGTTAGAAACCTGAAGAATGAGTGGCTAATGGTTGTGCAGCAGGACTGAGTTAATGTGTTCCTCTGCACACCTGAGGTTACAGGATACAAAAACCGCATCATCATCTGAACACAACACTGTTGGCATCATTACTCTCATAGACATCACTTACCAGGAAGACAGTACAGTTAATAATACCCCAGAATAATTATATGAAACTTGGCTGGACTAATGCACTGCAATGAGATGAGAACAACTTGTACCCTACTGCTTTGAGTAAGCACCCATTGATATAACTTGTCTAAGGTGTTTATTAGATCTTGCACCCCCCCTACTACATGAATAACAGGCTGTGTGCATTTGTAAAAAATATTAATGTATTGATAACATGCAGCTAATTTAATTTATCTCAAAGAAACCTAGTTTATCAACAGCTTTCTTTTAAAATAACTGCATTAATTAAAAAAGTAAATATATAACTACTTTTCAGCATAGCCATTTAGATTTTGTCATATCTGTATATTGTTGAATTCAACAAAAGAATTTGGTCTAGATTATTTTAGAAAATCCTATTCTATAAATGACATCAGTAAAAGCTCTTACTATTTTGTTTTTGTAAATCAGGGGATTGGAATTCCAAAAAGTAATTTATTCAGTATGATGGATTAATTCTGTTGTGTAAAATAATTAATAATAAGAAAGCTTAGTACGTGATGCATCTCTAGAAATTTGTGTTGGTGAATGAGCAGTTTCCCCAGTCACAATAATAATATTTGAATCAGACAGCAATTTTATCCCATGGAGAATAGACCTGGAATCATTTATTTTATCTGTGTGGGGTTTGCAAAAGAACTCTGGTAGATTCACTATTAATGTAAACACCAATAATAAAATTGTATATAAACTGTCTAGATTAGTGACCGTATTGTACACAATTTAGCCTAATCACTGTTATGTCTGTAAGGTTGAAAAATCTTTTAACATCTATATTGCAAAATAAAGTAAATAAACATATTCTATCTTTTCAGATATTTATTAAAAATATACACACATTAATTAGTGCTATAAATACCCTGCTTCATTTGTTATACAATAGCTGCTAACTGACATATTGTCTGATATATCATAAACTAGATAGACTTTACCTAAATATGGAAAAGATTTTTCTTGTGAGCCATTCCCTATATATCTGCATTATCGGACATTGATTACCATCTTTCCATTTTATGAAAAAATTGAAGGACAAATGGATGTCTTCTTGAAGGATTCTGACAGTTTACAGTATAAGAGATCAATTCTACCAACATTTTGATAAAGTAAGAAAGAATAAATCCATAAGTGTAGATTTTGCGTTGGCTGGGCCCGATAGATGATAATGTAGTCTAACATTACAAGGAAATGCATTTGAGAGAACGGACGCGTTTGGTAATTTAATTTTGCATAGACGCAGCATTTATAGAATGACCATTATTATTATAGTAAATAATGTTTAAACAGAAGATGAGGCCTGAGTATGTGAAATTATCTCTGATAAGAAGCCTCAAAATAAACGGATAATAATATTAAAGCATCTTCTTGACAACTCTAGCCATTATTTTATTTTTTTGCCTGGTAAAAATGATGTGTTTTTCAGAAAATATACCTGTAGTAATAAATGAAAAATATGTTTTTCTATCTGCACACATTGTTTTCGCTGCTGACCTTTGTCTGTGGTGTCTGCTGCTGAAGAGTAGATGATTCCCTCCCATCAAGTATACATTTGGACAAATTCCAAAACTCCACATTCAGGAGCCCAAGACTAGTTTGAACAACCACTGAGACTGTTTACCTGTAAAGAAGAACTATCATACAACAAGCCAACATTTGCACATTCTCCAAATGCAGAACTGACCAGTAACGAGTTTTGCCATGGGTAGAGGAGAGATAACAAAGTACTCAGAGCTCCATCAGCTGTTCCATGGCCATTTGAAACAGTCTGATTTTTAAACATACCCAGTCCAGCATAGAACTCAGAGCTCCATCAGCTGTTCCATGGCCATTTGAAACAGTCTGATTTTTAAACATACCCAGTCCAGCATAGAACTCAGAGCTCCATCAGCTGTTCCATGGCCATTTGAAACAGTCTGATATTTAAACATACCCAGTCCAGCATAGAACTCAGAGCTCCATCAGCTGTTCCATGGCCATTTGAAACAGGTAGCCTTCTGGAAGACTGACATTTCATTATATTTCTACATACCCTGTTAATTTTGTTGTAGGTGTATGTTTTTGTATTTAGTGACTATTATTTAGTTTTATTATTTTCAATGTATACATTTTCATGTCTTTGTAACTATAGCCTGTGCTAATCATGCAAAGTATTTTATCACCTTTGTCTTTGTCCATCATGTTAAAAGTTAGTTTAACCAGCTCAGGCCCATATATCTTTCCTGTTCCTTGTTTAATGGTTTTATTTCCCTACTTAAATACCTCTGTCTTATCTCTGTAATTCTCAATCTTAGCTTTTGTTTTTCCTTAAATGACCTTAAATCAAATGTCCATCTATGCACCCCCCCCCCATCTCTTAGCCCATCTGACCCTAATATACATCTCTCTCCCACAGTCTGATTTTTAAACATACCCAGCAGCATAGAACTCAGAGCTCCATCAGCTGTTCCATGGCCATTTGAAACAGGTAGCATTCTGGAAGACTGATTTCCCTCCCACCCCATGCTTATTTCCTCATTTATAGATAGTCTCCCACACAACTTTCAATCTACTGAAATGACAGGTGCAACCACTGATAAGCACACCCTTTCAATCTCTTAACCCTATAGAACACATACCCTCTCTCCCTACAGATAGATTTATCACACACCAATACTATATACTTTAATTTAATTTTTGTTTTTCGCAATTTCTGTTTCATTTTCAACTACACACCTCATACCACTAACATGAATCCAAATATAACCTAACTGTTATTCTTAATAACCCTTTTCTCAATCCAATTTTGTTCACACCACTACCAGCATAAGCACACACCTCAAACTGAACACAAATTATCATACACCATGGCATGCTCTGTTCCTGTAACTTATCTGCTGAGTGCTGGTGGAGAGTTCTAAAAAAATAGCCCTCCTACCAGCACCTCATAAAATTATAAAGTATCCCATTCACTATATGGCCAAACAAGAATGATGTCCAAACTCCTATTCCTTATGTTACTTGCCCTTGCAAATGATGTGGAGTCTAACCCTGGTCCCCCACCTAATTCTAGTCCTAAATTCCCCACTAAAAAAGGCCTCTATTTTGTGCACTGCAACATCCGTAGTTTACTCCCTAAACTGGATGCACTGCAAGCCTGGTGTTCCCATTACAAACCAAAAATCATTGTACTCTTAGAATCATGGTTAACGACTAAAATACCAGACACCGCCATTGCAATACAGGGGTATTCATGTTTTAGAAATGACAGAGCAAAGAGGGGAGGAGGCATTGTTATTTATGTTGACAATTCCATAACGTTTACCCCTTTACAAAACCTTAGTCCTCCTGACACCTTTGATTTCCTTTCTGGCACAATTGAGATCCCGTGCAGTAAATCAGTCATTGTTGCAGGAATATACCGCCCACCTAGCTCCCCTGTGCATTCCTTTTCTGACATAGCCCATCTCCTTAGTGAAACCATAGCTCAAAACCCTAAGAGTGAACTGTTGGTCTTTGGAGATTTTAATATTGATTGGCTGAATCCTAAAAATAACAGTTCTTGCACGTTGTTTAAGACTTTGCAGCTAACGCAATTAATCTCCTCCCCAACTCGCATAAACATTAAAAGCCATAAACATACCCTGCTAGATTGGATTCTCTCCACTTCTCCTGATAGAATCCAGGCAGCGGGTGTTCTCCCAAACACTTTCAGTGATCATTGTTTAGTATACTGCGTGTGCAAAATAAAGGCTATTAAATCCACTCCCAAGGTTAAAATAACTAGGTCCTTCAAAAAATGTAATCTTGAATCCTTTCTAAAGGACATCAAGAACCTCCCATGGCACAGATTAAACATTATCCCAGATCTAGACTGTGCTGTTGAATTCTTTCAGTCTGAACTCCTACAAATTTGGAATTTGCATGCCCCGCTGCGTAAGGTGAGGGTAAAAGGAGCACATATGAACTGGATCACAGCTGACCCCATCCAAATGTACCAGT